AATCAATGAATTTGGTAAAGTAGCAGGATACAAAATTAATGCACAGAAATCTCTGGCATTCCTATACACTAAGGTTGAAAAATCTGAAAGTGAAATCAAGAAAACACTGCCATTTACCACTGCAACAAAAAGAATAAAATATCTAGGAATAAACCTACCAAAGGAGACAAAACATCTGTATGCAGAAAATTATAAGATACTGATTAAAGATATTAAAGATGATACAAATAGATGGAGAGATATACCATGTTCTTTGATTGCAATAATCAACATTGTGAAAATGACTCTACTACCCAAAGCAATCTACCGATTCAATGCAATCCCTATCAAACTACCACTGGCATTTTTCACAGAACTAGAACAAAAAATTTCACAATTTGCATGGAAACACAAAAGATCCCGAATAGCAAAAGCAATCTTCAGAACGAAAAACGGAGCTGGAGGATTCAGGCTCCCTGACCTCAGTCTATATTACAAAGCTAGAGTAATCAAGATAGTATGGTACTGACACAAAAACAGAAAGATAGATCGATGGAACAGGATAGAAAGCCCAGAGTTAAACCCACGCACATATGGTCACCTTATTTTGACAAAGGAGGCAGGAATGTACAGTGGAGAAAGGACAGCCTCTTCAATAAGTGGTGCTGGGAAAACTGGACAGGTACATGTAAAAGTATGAGATTAGATCACTCTATAACACCATACACAAAAATAAGCTCAAACTGGATTACAGACCTAAATGTAAGGCCAGAAACTATCAAACTCTTAGAGGAAAACATAGGCAGAACACTCTATGACATAAATCACAGCAAGATCCTTTTTGACCCACCTCCTAGAGAAATGGAAATAAAAACAAAAATAAATAAATGAGCCCTAATGAAACTTCAAAGCTTTTGCACAGCAAAGGAAACCATAAACAAGACCAAAAGACAACCCTCGGAATGGGAGAAAATATTTGCAAATGAAGAAACTGACAAAGGATTAATCTCCAAAATTTATAAGCAGCTCATGCAGCTCAATAGCAAAAAAACAAACAACCCAATCCAAAAATGGGAAGAAGACCTAAATAGACACTTCTCCAAAGAAGATATACAGACTGCCAACAAACACATGAAAGAATGCTCAACAACATTAATCATTAGAGAAATACAAATGAAAACTACAATGAGATATCATCTCACACCAGTCAGAATGGCCATCATCAAAAAATTTAGAAACAGTAAATGCTGGAGAGGGTGTGGAGAAAAGGGAACACTCTTGTACTGCTGGTGGGAATGTGAATTGGTACAGCCACTATGGAGAACAGTATGGAGGTTCCTTAAAAAACTACAAATGGAGCTACCATATGACCCAGCAATCCCACTACTGGGCATATACCCTGAGAAAACCATAATTCAAAAAGTGTCATGTACCTAAATGTTCGTTGCAGCTCTATTTACAATAGCCACGAGATGGAAACAACCTAAGTGTCCATCATCGGATGAATGGATAAAGAAGATGTGGCACATATATACAATGGAATATTACTCAGCCATAAAAAGAAACGAAATTGAGCTATTTGTAATGAGGTGAATGGACCTAGAGTCTGTCATACAGAGTGAAGTAAGTCAGAAAGAGAAAGACAAATACCGTATGCTAACACATATATATGGAATTTACAGAAAAAAAAAAAAGTCATGAAAAACCTAGGGGTAAGACAGGAATAAAGATTTAGACCTACTAGAGAATGGACTTGAGGATATGGGGAGGGAGAAGGGTAAGCTGTGCCAAAGCGAGAGAGTGGCATGGACATATATACACTACCAAACGTAAAATAGATAGCTAGTGGGAAGCAGCCGCATAGCACAGGGAGATCAGCTTGGTGCTTTGTGACCACCTAGAGGGGTGGGATAGGGAGGGTGGGAGGGAGCGAGACACAAGAGGGAAAAGATATGGGAACATATGTATATGTATAACTGATTCACTTTGTTATAAAGCAGAAACTAGCACACCATTGTAAAGCAATTATACTCCAATAAAGATGTAAAAAAAAGAAAGTGTTTTGTATTTTCTTCAACAATTTACTATTCATAAGAGTAACGTTTCCCTGAATTTTACCAAGATAAAATCATCAGACACTTTAAAAACGTATTTGGCTTTGACTCAGTAATAAATATCTTTCTGGCACTCGTCATCCACTTCTCTACTTTTTGATTCCTTCCTATGGGAATAGAAAATTCTACTATGCACAATGCATACTTAGCAATGATTACTCCAATACTTGGGGTAAGCCCTCCACTTAGTGGTGGCCTAATACTTTCTCTTACCGTGAATTTCCACTGGATTTGTCTCATTCCAGCAGTTGATGATAGTCATCCTAGAACTAGGAACAAACAGAAAAATAACAGTCAGATCCATCTAAAGAGATGCATTTACAAATAAAGTTTTACTTTATGTTCAATAATTTTTTTCTCAAAATGGCTTTAACCAACTGTGCACTAATAACAATTGTTATGGTAATTAAATCCAGAAAATAATTAACATTTAAGAGTTTTAAAGGCACAATTTTTTTTAAATCAAGTTTATATACATAATTTTTATTGTAAAGTATAATAGGGTGACTAATGAAAATGTAAGTGCAAATATATACTGCATTCGGATAAAATTCTGTGGGGGTACTGAAATGAAAATATGACTCCAGGAGAAAAATATATAAAATTTATGGCTTTTAAAAAAGAACTTTTCATCAGCATTTTATAAGTAAATGGTAATGGGTTAAAAAGTACAGTGGTATTTGTATTCCATTCGATCTATTTGTAAAAAGGATATTACAGTGTCAGTTTAAAATGTCAATATACAAGTATACCAGAAATTACATCATTTGCAATCACTTAAACAGTTGATTTTAAAAAAATTAGGTACCAACTTAAAAATGTGTGAAGAATCACACAAGTTTTCAAAATTCTGTTGGAGGATATGTGAGCAAAATTTTGAACAGTATATATACATAAATATATATACGAGGAAACCTCTTGCACAGGTACATTTAGGAATCACATACAATATTTTTTGTTCTTTTTTCCTCTCAACAGTGACAAGCATTTATTGAGTGTTCATTACATCAGGCACCTTTCTAGGTTAAAAAAAAAAAAAAAATCAATAGACAAACATCCCTGTCCAGGTGGAGTTTATACTTTAGGAGCACATTGATACCAGCATGTTAGTAGAAAAAAATTAATTAAATAAAGAAAAGAAAGCAGCCATAGGCAAATCAAATGTCCACACAAAGGAGAAAGGATAATCACTTTATGAATATTATACAGCAATAAAAGTAAATATACTCAGCTATAGGCAACAATTTAGGCCAAAATTATCATTTATAATAAGAATATAAAGTTCAAAAAAAATCAAGGTAAGACAAACATTTAAAAACATAAATATGTAGTAAAACTATCAATATGTGGTTTAAAATATGTGGTGAAAAGACATAATGGCTACCCATACAGGAGTGGCACAAGGATGGATTAATTAGCAACAAACAAAAATAGCTTCAACATAAGAAATCAAGTTCTGGCCCTTAGGTTCTTTAGGTCCAATGGTGGATTCATGGGTGTTTATTTTATTTTCATGCCCCATTTTCTAAATATATCAGCTATTACATAAAATATGAATAAATGCCGAAAGTAACGTAGTTGAGGTTCCTTACAATTGTTTGCAACTATTCAGAAATTGAGAGACAAAGTAGGTTTACAACCATCAAGGAAGGACTGTAACATTTCTCTCTAATGTCAAGTACTGTTCCCCATGCCTCACTCCCCATGTTTCCTTACTCTGCCAGCTGTTCACACATCCACTCTTTTATTTGACATTAACTGACTGACCACTATATGCTGTACACCAGACTAAGTGTTAAAAGAAACCTTCTTCACCGCTATTCAACACCAGGAAATTTCTCTGAAACACAAAGGCCTTTTTCAAGTAGGCCTTAGGACTACTTGGTGTCAGGATCTTCTACATTTTACCTCTAATAACGCAAACTGATAGGTAACCTGTAAAATTCACTGTAAGTCATTGAGGAAACTGCTAATCCTTGTGACCAAGACCCTTTCTATTAATCTGTCTTATTGCCACCAGTAGCCTGTTATATGGCCTGAGCTATACATTACTTGGATGCCCCACCTCATTCCAAAACACAGTTGAAATTTAATAATTATTGAATAAACAACAAGATACAAAATTGAGTAATATTCCTCTTTGCCAGCTGGCATACAAATACCTTTTCTTGAGCATATGTAACATTTTGATTAGTAAAGTGATGCTCATTAAACAGACATGTTTATTATTAAAATAATTATTTAAGCAAAAAGAGACTTCTGTGGCATTTTTTACATGTAATGGTTTCAGATTTGTTACAGAAAATTATAAAGGCAAAAAAGAAAAATTATATACTTATGTTTCACAGTTTCAATGATAGGGATAATTTTAAATAATCTGTCCCCTATAAATTCATGTTTATTCATCCAAAAATATGTGCTAATATGTGGATGTTAAAACCTGTGTCCTATGGCTTCCTTACCACTGCCTCCTTCTCCTTCTCCTTCCCTGATTCAGCATGTTCCAGAATATTCTCAACAGAATTCAGACTCATTCCATAGGAGGCATATCTTTGTATTTACAAGTTTTATAATGTACACATTTATTCTTAAACAGTAGAATTACTAATACTTTTAGCATGGCAATGTTAGAAAACTAGAGAGGAGCTGAGTTTTAGATTTGGAAAAGATACAGTATTTAATGCATTCATTAATTGGGATCATTCTCCCATATTTATTTAGTTTCTTGTGATAAAGTGTTCCTTTATTCCAGGAATTACTACTTATCTGAGACAATATTTTTGAAAAAATAAAAACCCACACAACTATAAATCAATTGCAAATTTCCTGGTATCATGAAAAAATCAATTGCAAATTTCCACTGTATCACGAATTGATTTCCATGTATCAATCACTCCATTAATGAGGGTGTTAAGATACAGGGTAAAAACAGAAAGTAAATGGCCATCCTTCATTATCCATCCCAATAGAAACACTAGGATGACCCTAATTGATGAATTTGCTGAGAATTACTTCCTATTTATGAATAGTATCCCAAGTTTACTCTTTACATATATCATATACATTACATGCTTTCTTGTTACATGTCCTTATAAATGGTATCTACAGTTCGACGCAGAAAATGTGGAAAGAACTGAGTATCATAGTTAGCAACTGGAGTAAGAATATTCTACTTATGATGGCATTTAGGAATAAGAGAATGATAATAAGAAGTAACTGAGAAGAGGAACTTCAAGATAGCAGAAGAGTAAGATGTGGAGATCACCTTCCTCCCCACAGATACATCAGAAATACATCTACATGTGGATGTATTTCTACAGAACACCCACTGAATGCTGGCAGAAGACCTCAGACCTCCCAAAAGGCAAGAAACTCCCCACATTCCTGGGTAGAGCAAAAGAAAAAAGAAAAAACAGAGACAAAAGATTAGGGATGGGACCACACCAGTGGGAGGGAGCTGTGAAGAAGGAAAGGTTTCCACACACTAGGAAGCCCCTTCATGGGCAGAGACAGCAGGTGGCGGAGGAGGGAAGCTTCAGAGACAAGGAGGAGAGCACAGCAACAGGGGTGCGGAGGTCAAAACGGAGAGATTCCCGCACAGAGGATCAGTGCCGACCAGCACTCACCAGCCCGAGAGGCTTGTCTGCTCACCCGCCGGGGCAGGCGGGGACTGGGAGCTGAGGCTCAGGTTTTGGAGGTCAAATCCCAGGGAGAGGAATGGGGTTGACGGCATGAACACAGCCTGAAGGGGGCTAGTGCGCCACAGCTAGCCAGGAGGGAGTCCGGGAAAGTCTGGAGCTGCCGAAGAGGCAAGAGGCTTTCTCTTGCCTCTTTGTTTCCTGGTGTGAGAGGAGAGGGGATTAAGAGCGCTGCTAAAAGGAGCTCCAGAAACGGGCACGAGCCGCGGCTAAAAGTGCGGACCACAGAGACGGATCTAAGACGCTAAGACTGCTGCTGCCGCCACCAAGAAGCCTGTGTGCGAGCACAGGTCACTATCCACACCTCCCCTCCTGGGAGCCTGTGGAGCCTGACACTGCCAGGGTCCCGTGATCCAGGGACAACTTCCCCAGGAGAACGCACGGCGCGCCTCAGGCTGGTGCAATGTCACGCCGGCCTCTGCCGCAGCAGACTCACCCCGCACTCCGTACCCCTACCTCCCCCCGGCCTGAGTGAGCCAGAACCCCGCAATCACCTGCTACTTTACCTCCTGTCTGAGCCAAGAACAGATGCCCTCAGGTGACCTACACACAGAGGCGGGGCGAAATCCAAAGCTGAACCCCAGGAGCTGTGCGAACAAAGAAGAGAAAGGGAAATTTCTCCCAGCAGCCCAAGGAGCAGCAGATTAAATCTCCACAATCAACTTGATGTACCCTGCATCTGTGGAATACCTGAACAGACAACAAATCATCCCAAATTGAGGAGGTGGACTTTGGGAACAACAATATATATTTTTTTCCCTTTATCTCTTTTTGTGAGTGTGTATGTGTATGTCTGCGTGAGATTTTGTCTGTATAGCTTTGCTTTAACATTTGTCTTAGGGTTCTGTCTGTTTTTTTTTTAAGAATAGTTTTTAGCACTTGTTATCATTAGTGGATTTGTTTTGTGGTTTGCTTGCTCTCTTCTTTCTTTCTTTCCTTTTTTTTTAAAAATTACTTAAAAAATTTTTTTAATAATTTTTTTATTTTAATAACTTTATTTTATTGCTTTTTCTTTCTTTCTTTCTTTCTTTCTTTCTTTCTTTCTTCTTTTTCTTTCTTTCTTTCTTTCCTTCTTTCTTTCTTTCCTTTTTTTCTCCCTTTTATTCTGAGCCCTGTGAATGACAGGGTCTTGATGCTCCAGCTGGGTATCAGGGCTGTGCCTCTGAGGTGGCAGAGCTGAGTTCAGGACACTGGTCCACCTGAGACCTCCGAGCTGCACGTAATATCATGTGGAGAAAATTTCCCAGAGATTTCCATCTCAACGCCAATACCTAGCTCCACTCAATGACCAGCAAGCTACAGTGCTGCACACCCTATGCCAAACAACAAGCAAGAAAGGAACACAACACTACCCATTAGCAGAGAGGCTGCCTAAAATCATAATAAAGTCACAAACACCCCAAAACACACCACAAGACGCAGACCTGCACACCAGAAAAACAAGGTCCAGCCTCATCCACCAGAACACAGGCACTAGTCCTCTCCACCAGGAAACCTAAACAACCCACTGAACCAACCAGAGCAACTGGGGACAGACACCAAAAACACTGGGAAATATGAAATTGCAGACT